AAAGTGTATTTTGTTTGTTGTTAAGCACAAAGCTAAACAATGGAGTGACGGGGATTCGAACCCGCGATACTCAGATTACGAGTTGAGCGCCCTAACCACCTGGCCTATTTCTCAAAAATTTGTTTTAAACTTCACGATACAATCAAATGAAGCCTGCTCCCTCAATATACGGAAAGTCACCATCTTCTTAATATTTCTTAAAACTAAACCTTTTGAAGCGTGGCAAATGTTAAATTCATTTGAAACAAAAGAGCTAAAAACTATCTTCTATTGTCCAAACAGAAATTAAGTCAGTTCCAATAACTACATTGAATACGTATGTGTAAATTAAATTTATAATTTATGAGAATCGGCTCCCAAGAATCAGACAACAGAGACATATTACAATTCAAATGTATACCTCTGAAAATCAGACATCAACATTTAATAACTACGCTTCTATCTTGTTTCGATTAGCAGCTGCGTTCTGTAGCAAGAATAATACTATGCCTACTTCAAATAGAAAATATGTGTAAAGAAAAACGCAGAATTCAGACTTGAAACGAAGAACATCTTTTTGTGCTTGTTTACATATAAGCAATGAGCAACTACATTTTTTTTCGTTTTCTAGCTAGTTTATTTTCGGTATAACAGGTAAAATACGACACACCACATAAAGTCTGTCAGAATTTTCAAATTTCCTTGCTAGTCTATAATAATATATCTCAAGGCTACTTGGATTGCTTGTAATCAAGCTAGTGATGTCCCAAGGATTACTTGATCTACTTGTAATCAATGTATAGTGATGTTGCCCCAGGAATAGTTGACCTACTTGTAATCAAGTTATAGTGATGTTGCCACACGAATAGTTGACCAACTTGTAATCAAGGTGTAGTGATGTTGCTTCAGGAATACTTGACCTAGTTGGTACAACTTTATTATAGCTTAATTACAAGCAGGTCAAGTATTTCTGAAACAACTTTATTATAGCTTGGTTACAAGCAGGTCAAATATTTACGAGACAATTTTATTATAGCTTGGTTACAGGGTCACCTTTCCTGCTTGTAATTAAGCTATAATAAAGTTGTCCCAGGGTCACCTTTCCTGCTTGTAATCACTGGCACAGTGTTATTAGAATAGTGTTCCGTTAATCAAAATGTTGAAGTATGTGAGGACAGTATACATGAAAGATAGTTACAGAAGTCACTGTCAGTAATCAGCTGATTCTTGTCTCACACTTTGCATCATATCCAGAATTTCAAAACAGATAAATAACCGTTGGTTTTACCAAATAACTGGCTTTAGACATTAAAGTTTACCCTTTTATTTCGAGTCCAAACTGTTTTAATATTAGGAATTTGGAGGTTTAATGCTAATGACACTTCGTGTTTGAAAACATGCACGTGAATTCATCAACTAACTGGTCTATGTTTTTAAGATAAAGTTGTAGAACTATTATTCACCAAACATCGACTTTTCTAATTTGTAGAAAACGTCCATCATTATGTTCTTTAACTGTATGCCACCGAAGTCGGGATTTCGGTTTAGCAGAATACACAGGTTGTCACCGATTACACCGATCAATATTTTACTGTATTGAATGTCAAAATATTTTATTCTCTGTAATTTGTCGTCATCAATTTGTAAATTAACCAAGCAGCAAGATGCTTCCTTAAAGTGTTCCTAACAAGTTCAAAGACGTTTCTTATAAACTACATATTATATTTTATTTATTGACTTTGAATACCGATAATAATTGATACTCTTTCAAATAGCAGAGCAAAGAAAAACGAAAATCAAGGCAACTGGTTCCGTGTTGAGAGGTGATAGTAATGTAAGCGCAATATAAAACTGCCAATTATTATGTCCCGAGTTCTGACACAAAAGTAATCAGGCTTCGTTTTGTATACATCAGTTCTTAAGGGGGAAGGCTCACTACCAGTGATGTGTTGATTACGTCGGTAACATGTAATGTTCTGAGTCCTGTACATAACTTCTTGTACAATACACAGTGCTGTGATAATTAATAAGAAATCCTATGTTGTTATTTTTTCTTGTTGTAAACACTTACTGCGCTATTAATGATGTGTTTGACACGTGTAGTAAATGAGGTATTTTGAACAAGGGCGTCATTCGGGAGGGTGAAATGGGCGCCCCCTCCCAAGATCAGGGTGAGACATTTCTTGTAAGGCCGGATTAACATTAATGCACAAATTGCATATTTAATTATTTAATAGTTTAATTGGAGGGAAGCAACCTTCTTTGCCCCCTCCCCAGGCACGTCGGAACGTGCAAAACACTAGGAAGGACAGTCGTAAATGAATACCAATTGTCTGATAAACCATAAAAGCGCTTTAAAATATTATTCAACAATTTCACACAGTAAAAGTATATTGTATATACAAAAATACAATATCGTAGTTTGCTGTTTACTATAAAATCGTAAATCATACACATAATAAAAATGTTTCAAATAATAACCAGTATACACATTATACAACAAGTGTAGTGTTTAGTATACACATTATACAACAAGTGTAGTGTTTAGTATACACATTATACAACAAGTGTAGTGTTTAGTATACACATTATACAACAAGTGTAGTGTTCAGTATACACATTATACAACAAGTGTAGTGTTCAGTATACACATTATACAACAAGTGTAGTGTTCAGTATACACATTATACAACAAGTGTAGTGTTTAGTATACACATTATACAACAAGTGTAGTGTTTAGAACTTGCGAACGAACTTAATCTCCTTTCATATCGGCTGCCAAAGTCAACTGACTGCACAGAAAAAAGACTAAATAAAAATAATTATCAGCAAACTGTTGGGAGGGCAATGATATTTAGGCCCTTATTTAACTATTGGGGCACGTGGCCCCCATCCCTCCAGCAAAATCCATATGATATTTATTGGTCATGTTCTGAACGTAATGTTAGTTTCTGCTTGCTTTAAAACCTTCTACGATTTGTGGCCCTGTGACTCTCATTTTTTATGTATTTCTATTCCTTTTTTTATGATGTTTTCAAGGACTCTCAATTTATTTTTTTATGATGTTGCGACTCTTGTTTTCTACACGTTTCGTAGCATTGTAACAATTCAATGTTGTCATATTTTAGAAATTTCTGATGATGGAGTTGAAAAATTCTTGTTTTCATAAACCTTCTACTTCTCTTTATTTTTTCTTTTGTTTTTTTAACGCCCATTTGTATTTTGTACAAAGTCTCTCAAACGCTTAGTGGCGATTTAGCTCCTATTTTTAAGTAAGAATGCTTCCTCTACTTTTTGTTGTGACTTAATTATTCAAATATTTTGATAATACCAATAGCGCCTCAACTAATATTGTGTCTGACGTACTCCAATCAACCCGAAGAGCTCTGGTATTAGGCGACAGGCCTCTTCAGCACTGGAATGGCATGGTTGATACATGATAAGACGCTTTTCTTTCGTTCGTAAGTTATTATAACCTCAGTTGACGATGATTTCCCGCTATTTTCTGGTGTTATGACTGGTCATTCTCAGTTTGTGTGTGTATTTTATTAGTCCTGCTGTTGTAAGTTATTACATTACTCATACGCTTTAAACTCATGTTATTGATAACTTTCTACAGCTTTAGTCCTGTGACTGTGGTAAGAGAAACATGGGTATCTTCCATAAAATTCTGGTCCTTAAATAATAAATACTTCGTGCTTTAACGTTTTGCTTTGACTCCTTCTGCATCATACATCTGTTCTCTATTAACAACTCTCGTAGAGAGATCGATCTTGTGATTTAATACTTGCAATTAAGGATCCTTATATCTCTACTCTGGTTTGTTTCGGGATTGATGAAACATTTCAGTCTTGTATATATTTTAGAACATAAATGCTACTTTAAATTTTCGAAGGTTTGTTTAATGTTGATTTATTCACACCTGTTAGCCCTGTTTCATACTTATTACACTGATCCTAGCTAGAATGATATATATATATATATATATAAAGATATTAACGATTTTCTTTTTCGTGCAAGCTTCGAAGGGAGAACTTCCCGGTAAGTAATTAAAACATCTTTCTATCTGTCTATGTGCTAATGTATTTATCTGTTGGTCTCTATATTTTCGTATCTGTTTTTACTTCAAATGTTGATGCAGCCTCCTTTTTTTTTAGCCGCAAGTGCTGAATTCAGATTTATTAATGAACTGCTTTATGTCATGTGAAGTATTTATAGATACGCACAAGCAATCCAAATAATTTCAAGTAATGACAGCTTTTTAAGATTCTTCTCTACCTGAATATGTGCCAAAAGGGGGCTTTCATTTGTTTTGGCAACTGGAAAAGTAATTTTATTTTAGTGAAAATCTTATTACATTTTTACTTCATATGTCATGAATAAAGCTTGACAATACATTTCAATGTATATTGGTTCACTTTCATTTGAAAGTTACGTGTGCTACTACGTTAGTTCTCTCTCTCTCTCTCACTCACTCACTTATCTCTTTCTTCTTCTCTCTCTCTATTTATATTGACAATCTGAAAAGGTTCACGATTCGCGATGCGATATGCCACTGAAAACGCCCCGCACTTACAGCTATGGGTGCATCATAAGAGAGGCAGTCAATCCCATTATTCGGTTCAAAACAGGGCAAAGCTGTGGTGGCGACGGATGTTACTAACTGGCTGCCTTGCCTCTAGTCATTTGTTTAAAGTAAGGGATTTCTAACCCGTCTGTTTAGCTTAAGTGCACATTAGAGGCCGTTCGGATTGAAAATGTCAAAACTGTATATAAAAAGAGTAATTTACTATTTAAAATATTTAATTTTACCTGGAGTTTTATCGGTCTTTTTGTAATGTGATTCACTATTCTTCATTCGTAAGGCACCTTAACGCGTTTAGAAATTAATGATAGCACTTTCTTTTCCTTCTTTTGAGATAGAAAAAAACATACAAATTCTTCATGCCGCAATAAAAATTCATAACTTATCGAAATATTACAAATTCCCAAATTAAAAGCAAAAATTCATTTTATATTTAAAAAAAGGGAAATAATATATATTCGATATAGTAATGTACTGTATAAAAAATAGGGGGCAGTTAAATGAAATCAAACGTTTGTGGAAACACGCCATTGTTATGAAACAAAGATAGACCTTACAAAACATGTTGAATTAAAACCATTTCGAAAAGGATAAGTAAATTCCAAGTTTTTGATTTGACTAATCCTGAGTGCTTAAAAAGTAAACTACGCAGAACAAAACTGATAAAATACCGTATTTTTCGGAATATAAGACGCACCCTTATTTTGAAGACAACGTTTTGGGGGAAAACAAAAGCTACAGTCGCATTTGAAAAATTTTTATTGAACAAAAGTTCAATTTGATACTTTAAAAATTAGTATATATTGTTCTAAACACAAAAGAGCTCAAACCATCAAAATAAGAAAATACCGTAAATCAAAAAAGGTTTACTGTTATTTAGTTTGGTTCAAAACCTACAAAATCTTCATTGCTTTCACTGTAATTTATTTTTTCATTATTTAGGGAGCATTATAGTTATGTTTAAAAAAAAACTACTATTGTTATAAATATCACATTCAATTGAACTAAACTATGCATGTCTATTTAAACATATTTACACATGGATTGTGTATATCGTATATATACATATATATTATTCATACTTTCTGTGTATAGGACACAAGCAGATTTTGACATCAAATTTTGGGGTAAAAAAGTGCGTCTTATACACCGAAAAATGCGGTAGTATAAAAATTTATATTTCCATACTTCCATGTTTAGTTTGCCCGGGAAAAATCTGTCAGAAGATATGTACTCAAAAGTTATCAAGACTAATTTGTCAAAAAAAATCCAAAAAAAAAACGAAGTAATTCAAGTAATGCTTCTTTGATTACGACAACAAGGCTCTGATGTGTATGTCATTATAACCTTTCTACGTCAAACGATGGGAGTTATTTGAGAATTTAGGTGCAAAATCTCTTCCTTCTTGAGATAAATAAACAAGGCGAGAACCGTAGATATACAAAACAATGCTAATTGGATTAAATAAATTAGCTTTAAATATTGTCAGTATGTGTTATATGTAATGGGCTTAATAAACAGACTTAACATATTTGACACAACGTAAAAGCTAAGCCAATTAATTCATTATTTTATAGCCAGAATGGAGAGCAGCAGACCCTGGCTTGACATGGTTCCTATCATATACAGAGGTTTCGATTTTGTTTAATGGTTTTTCATCATCCCACTACCGATATTAGCAGCCCCTGGCTTGACATGGTTCCTATCATATACAGAGGTTTCGATTTTGTTTAATGGTTTTTCATCATCCCATTACAGATATTAGCAGCCCCTGGCTTGACATGGTTCCTATCATATACAGAGGTTTCGATTTTGTTTAGTGGTTTTTCATCATCC